GATTCGGGTAGCGATGAATCCGACCCATTTAACAGCCTGGTGTTTAAGGACCAATATCTAGAAATTTCGACCAAATTGCCGGAAAGCGCAGCCTTATACGGGCTGGGGGAGAACACGCAGCCGAAAGGGATGAAACTGCAGCCCAATGAGCCTTACACTCTTTACACCACCGACGTGGCGGCGGTGACTTTGAACACCGACCTCTACGGGTCCCACCCAGTGTACATGGACCTGAGGAACGGCGGCGGCGGAGGGGAAGCGAACGCTCACGGCGTTTTGCTTCTGAATAGCAACGGGATGGATGTGTTTTACAGAGGGAACTCGTTGACGTATAAGATAATTGGCGGAGTTTTGGATTTGTACTTCTTCGCAGGGCCGTCGCCGTTGAGCGTGGTTGATCAGTATACAGCATTTGTGGGGCGGCCGGCTCCCATGCCTTATTGGGCTCTCGGTACGTATGATCATGCTACTGTATTCACACTCCCCAATTTACTTGAGAGAATGAAAATGGTGAGGTTTGTTGGGATAAGGAAGGTAGGAAGTGTTTTGGGTTTGGTTTGATGTGTCGTGTGGAGGAGGGGAAGAGTGGGTTTGGTTTGGGGATTAATGGGGAGGGAATGGGAAAGGTAATGGTCCATACTCTAAAGTGGATTTTTCTTGGGGTAAGCCTTCATGGAGTCGTAGCAACATGTGAACGAAGTTAATGTTGTAGGCCTATACGTAAATATACTTATAAGTAGGTGTTGAAGACGGTTGAAGTCGAAGAGATAATGTCATTTTATGAGAAAATTAAAGGTGAAAGCATTTAAGATTATGTTCAAAACTTTAGAGATACAAATGATCTTATTATATGTGAACTGGAATTTGTAGGGTTCCACCAGTGCCGATGGGGCTACCGGAACCTGTCCGTCGTGGAAGACGTCGTGGAGAATTACAGAAAGGCCAAGATCCCACTCGATGTAATATGGAACGACGACGACCACATGGACGGCCACAAAGATTTCACTCTCAATCCCATCAGTTACCCTCATCCAGCTCTATTATCATTTCTCAACAAAATCCACAGCTCCGGCATGAAGTACATTGTCCTAATTGACCCTGGAATCGCCGTTAATTCCACCTATGCCGTCTACCAGAGAGCCCTTGCGAAAGACGTCTTCATCAAACACCAAGGCCACCCTTATTTGGCCCAAGTTTGGCCTGGCCCCGTCCACTTCCCGGACTTCCTCAATCCCGCCACCGTCTCTTGGTGGGCCGATGAGATTAGCCGGTTTCACCAACTCGTTCCGGTGAATGGCCTTTGGATTGATATGAACGAAGCCTCCAATTTCTGTACCGGAAAATGCACGATACCGGTGGGGAAACAGTGCCCCAATGCTACTGGACCCGGGTGGATTTGTTGTTTGGATTGTAAGAACATAACAGATACAAGATGGGATGACCCACCTTACAAAATCAACGCATCCGGACTGCAGGTTCCGATTGGATACAAAACAATCGCTACAAGCGCTGTTCATTACAACGGCGTTTTGGAATACGACGCTCACAGTCTATACGGGTTTTCGCAAGCAATTGCCACACACAAGGCCCTTCAAGGGCTCGAAGGAAAGCGCCCCTTTGTCCTTACACGCTCCACGTTCGTCGGTTCTGGCAAATACGCCGCCCATTGGACTGGTGACAATCAAGGGACGTGGCAGGATTTGAAATACTCCATTTCCACTGTCCTCAATTTCGGTATCTTCGGTATCCCAATGGTGGGGTCCGACATTTGTGGGTTCTATCCAGCGCCAACGGAAGAGCTTTGTAACCGTTGGATTGAAGTTGGAGCTTTTTACCCTTTCTCCAGAGATCATGCCAATTTCTATTCTCCTAGACAGGAGCTTTACCAATGGGAATCAGTGGCTACCTCTGCTAGAAATGCGTTGGGAATGAGGTACAAGATTTTGCCATATCTTTACACTTTGTCGTATGAAGCTCATATCAAAGGAGCCCCAATTGCCAGGCCACTTTTCTTCTCGTTCCCGAATTACGCCGAGTGTTATGGAGTTAGCACCCAATTTCTTCTGGGGCAGAGCTTAATGATTTCTCCGGTGCTCGAGCAGAGCAAAACAGAGGTCACTGCTCTGTTTCCGCCGGGGACTTGGTACGATTTGTTTAATATGACGAACGTGATCATGTCCAAAAAGGGGCGTTATGTGACACTCCATGCACCCCTTCATGTGATTAATGTTCATTTATATCAGAACGCCATATTGCCAATGCAGCAGGGTGGGATGATTTCCAAGGAAGCTCGAGCGACGCCGTTTAGCCTCGTTGTCACTTTCCCCGCCGGAGAATCTGACGGCGAGGCTAGAGGGTATCTGTTTTTGGACGACGATGAGCAGCCGGAGATGAAAATTGCAAAAGGTACTTCGACGTACGTGGAATTTTACGGTGTGAAGAATAACGGCCGTGTGAAGATTTGGTCGGAAGTTGCGGCGGGGCAGTTTGCTTTGGACAAAGGGTTGATTGTTGAGAAGGTTATAGTTTTGGGGTTGGATGGGAGTGGGAAGGCGAAGGAGGTCTTTGTCGATGGAGCTCCGGTGGCGGCCGGAGTTTCGGCCTCGACGGTGGAGCAAAATATAGAGCAAGAGCCATTGGGGGAAGATGGTGAAAGAGGAAAAAGTTTGATGGTTGAGGTCAGTGGCTTATCGTTGCCAATTGGGAGAAGCTTCAAGCTGTCCTGGCAAATGGGTTCTTAAATTGGAAGTCCACCATGGAATCAGCTTGATCGAACCATGAATCTTGTGTTTTCTTCTGTATGTCCTCATCTATTGTAGTCTTCCTTTGCATTGATCTGTAACATTGGGCTTGTTGTTGGGCCTTTGAAATCTTTCATAGAATTCTAATGTGGGCCTGGGCTAATATTCTATTACCGGGCATGTAGTTGCATACGTGTCACTTAGAAAACGCAAATAATAAACGACGTATTGCCACCTCATAGCTAAAAAACTTACCGGAGATATTTTTTTTCTTTTGTAATAAAATAATTTTAAGGGTTAATTTTGACTTAATTTTAGATGTAATGTGAGGCGAGAAAATTGAAGGAAAGAGGGCACTTTCCGCAGTTATGGACTGAGACTAAAATAGCAGCTGAATTGGGCGCGTCATCGTAACGCTAGGCGTAACAGCTGGAAGAGTGGGGTTCATAGTGCGACACGTGTCGAGAATTCTGTGGAAGACAAACGGTATAGGCGGAGATTTTGGCGGGAAGAATAAGGCGGAAGATTCCACGTCGGCGCTATGGGCGGGAAAAACGTAAGCCTGTTTGCGGTGGGCCCGCTTTGTCGTTACGCGGAAATGATATTCATGCATGGCATGCACATGATGAGGGGATGATGATGGTTGCTGGATGTGGAACATGGTGATTATTGGAATCTCACATGATGAGAGAGACCAATGGATTGCATTAATTATTCGTGTCGTGACTTTTCGGTGGATGTTAGTTGGGGCATTTTTTGTTCGGGTCGGGCATGGGTCGGATCTTTATTTTGCCAATATCAATACAGACATTATCACGTGCATCGTGTGGTCCTTTCTTTTTTTTTGTTCATTTTTTCCCTATTTCTCACTTTTTCATTCCGTACCCCTGTTCCCCTCTTTACTTTTTAAATGTAATACAAATTTATACGTAATTAAATTTATTCATTTGGTGGTTAACTTTGGCTTCTAAATCTTTAATAAATATTAATATTAGTCTTCAATGGTAATTTTAAATAAAAAATAATGTAAATATATTTCCAAATTCTATATACTATATTAACCTTCAAAAAAAACAAAAAAAAGTTAATAATAAACTAACAGTAAGAACTCATTTTCAGTTTGATTAAAGTATATGAAATGATGAAGTGTATGAATACTAAGTTGTAATTAATTAGTGTTTGTGTAAATTTATTTAGAGAATATTTAAGTATATTTATTGGTACCGGAGTTGATGATTAAAATCTATCATTACAAAACCTATTGTTTTATTTAATGTGTTCATTGATTCTCATGATAACGATAATAAATAAATATTTAAATGGAGGCGGCTATTGTTGGCATAATTAAAGGTGGAAGTAGGCATGCATGAATATCTTAATCTTCTTATTTTGTGGGGCTGTTATGTTGGGTGGATGATTTGGGCGTGCACAATTTACGTCTTTATGAGGGAGATCATCACGTGCTTCACTGCTTGAGTCTCCCATTAACTAAATATTGGTCACGTGCTACTATCAAATCAATTTTTGTCCATGTTATGTTTACCATATTCTAATTTTGAGCATTTACTTCCCAATTAAACTAAAATCTAATCATTTTTTAAGCTAAATCTTTTGGATTTAAAACACTCCCACCCCTTATGTACTTGAATAGATAATTTGATTAATGAGATAGAGATGGTTTGTCATAATTTGTACATTAAAATTTAATTTTTCTTATTCCAATGTTAATCGGTTTATATAAAGTAAATAATCAAGGTATGAGCTTGTCTTGTTATTATTATTATTCATTTTTAATTACAATCGAGAAATAATAATGAAAATGAAAGATTTAACTACTCATTTTATATGATAAAATTCATTATTTTTTGGATGCTTTAAAAGTTTGAATGTATTATGCAATATTATAAAGAAATATGGTCTTAAAATTATTTTCTTTTTGTTACCAAACAAAGTGCTAACAAATAAAAAAAAAATAGAAAAAATAAAAACAAAAAAGAGAGTTTACGTAATCAATATTATGATATAAATAAATTAAATGGTATTATTTATGTATGGAATGTAAACCGTAATTTTATGAATTGTTTGAAAGATAAAGGATTTATAAATATTAAAAATTGAATTAGAAAAAATGATATGAGAGTTTAGACTGCGAAGAAGGATTCCATCAAATCCCCAATTCAAACAAATTTTAGGATCCGTGGGGATTTGCGGGGTGTTGATAGACCAGGAAAGTTTCAATAAATATTGATGATGGATGGATGGATGGATGGATGGATGTGCATGAATCCGGTGGCCATCCATCCATACCCATCATCAAAGCACCTCTTTTTAAGCAAATTCCATCCTCATCATTTACTTCTGTAAAATTTGAACGCTCCTCGGAAGAATTGCAGGCGCCACCGACTGTGGAGATTCTTGGAACAACACGAAGAGACAGAAGTGGATCAGAGTAAGAAATTTCTTTCTTTTTATGTGTATTTTAATGTCGGGTTTTTCACGGAATGGGGGGTGGGTCGATTCCTTCTTCCATTGTCGTCACTGCTCACTGCTCACTCTTCATCTTTTTTAATCATATTTTTCGATTTCTGATATTTCCATAGAGATTTGCAGCACAATCGAGATCTCTCTTTATCTGTCTCTCTTCTGTGTTTCTCTAAAATCGAACAATGTTGGCCATGGATTGGCGATCTCTCTCGCTTTAATCTGCTGGTTTGTTTACTTTTTGAACTCTTTCAACCTTTCAACGACAGGGCTCAGACTTTTCTTCATCTGGGTTTGTGCTTTTTTTCAACTGGGAAAGAAGTTGACGACGGTGGTTGAGCAGTAGATTTATGTCGGCTTTGTTCATATTGGCAGTGATTGGGGCTCTGTTGCAGCTCTGGTTTTCTTCTTCTTCTTCTTCTTCTGCTTGCTTCCTTCTCTGCTGGTTCCGGCAGAGGTTGATTCTGCTGCAACGATCATTTTCAATGCGTTTGAGATTAAAAAGGCAAGACAGATTTTCTAGTTTCATTCGATTGTCTATGTGTTTCCTAAAGGGTTTTCGGCCTAATTCCGATTTGTTTTTTTCCATTGCAGGACTTGTTCTGGAGTAAAGTTCTCTTGGGCTTATCGTATAAAACATTTTTTACTTCGTTTCTCCACCTTGCACTTCAGTTATTGGAATTCTCAGAGATCTTCCGCTGTTTCCCTTTGATTATTCACTTCCTCTCCTTCCCAACGATTTGATCTCAATGTCGTACTCCCGGATGCCGCATTCTAATCAGAAACTTGTTAGCCGCAACAGAAAATCCAAGCTGCAGCCAAAAAATTTCTCTGCGGATTCCAAAATGAGGAGAAAAGTTCGCATAATCTTTTACGATCCTGATGCAACCGACTCATCTTCAAGCGAAGATGAAGGAGAAAGATATGGAAGAAAGTTTAATCGAACCGTACACGAAATCCACCTGCCTCCGCTGAAAAAGGCTCTCGAATCCGAGAGTTCTCAGAACAGCAACAACGAAAACAAAAACCCTAAGCTTAAGCAATCCAAGGTTCAGATCAAAAACCCTTCCTCCTCCCGAAGACAATCGTCTTCCAAATACAGAGGTGTGAGACAGAGAGCTTGGGGAAAATGGGCGGCTGAGATTCGAGATCCCTTCAAGAGAAGCCGTATTTGGCTTGGTACTTACGATACTGCAGAAGAAGCTTCTCAAGCTTATGAGTCGAGGAGGCTGCAGTTTGAAGCTATGGCGGCAGAAATGGCTGTTGAAGAAGGCAACAGGACCGCATCCTCATCCGCCGCTGTTCTTTCAGAAAGCACTGCGGAGACCACCGTATCCCACACCTCACCGTCGTCGGTTTTCGAATGGGACGATTCAACTTCCCAAAGCCAAGATTTGAAAGTGGGAGATTCAATCAAAGAAGAAACAGGCACGAATATGAACTACCTTCAAGAAACCGATCAGAGCCATCCGTTTATAGACGAAATAAACATGGGGATCAATTTTGATTCGATTATAGCGGATGGAATCGGAATGTTCTTGGAGGATTTTGTAAGTTTAGAGAACACACAGATTTTTGGGTTCGGCGACGATGAACCCAGCGGCTTTCCAAATGCGGATTTCGGGGATTTTGGGAACGATGACATTTCTTGCTGGCTTGATGATTCCATCAACATTACCTGCCCTTAAATTTTTGCAGCTTAGGAGTTTTCTCTTCTCAAGTGTTTTATCCATTGAGAAATTCCCTTTTTTAATTTGGTTTTCTGAGAGCGAAAATGAGAAGAGTGTTCTTCTCTCAGTCTGCCATTTTGGTTACGATTAAAAGATTTTGTCATCTGTGTGAGAAATTGGTGAATCAATATCGACATCAATGTTCCTAATATTGAAAATTTTCATTAACAACTTGAATCATTCAACGTTAGTTTGTGTGAAATTATTGTGAGTATGTTTTAAATTTATTTGAAGGTACGGAAGGAAGTGTGATATGAGCTGTAAACCAAATACGTAGCTCCGTTCCATCCATCCATAGTACCACTTTCGTACTGTTACCCTTCTTTCTATTCTTAAAAGGATAAACTTAATAATTCATTTAATGTTTCGGCCTTTTTGTTGGCCCAACTTCATTCGTATTGGTGAGTATTGAAGGCAATGTTGAAATATTTGAAGGCCTTTTCCAATTCCAAGAAATCCATTGTCCTGGAAACTCTTGATGGAATCTTCCAACATTTGCATACGGTTTGTTTTTAAACAATAATTCATTGCATTATCTATACATGGATCAATGGGTGTTGTCTGTATCGTAATAACAAGAGTTTGCACTTAACCTTTAACCTAAAACACTCCCTTAAATTAAGCGACCTTGCCTTGATGCTGTTATCAAGAACAGGTGAAGCAGTGTGGAAAACTACCTTCTTCTAACAACTCAGCAACCTCTCTCATTAGCTCCATTAAACTCCCACACAAACCCAATTTTGCCATATTGTTCAAGAACATGTATCCAAGATTAAATATACCATACTATGATCAATTTGGTAGTGTAGTAAATTGTGTTTCAAAATTGTGCGATACTTAATTTGGATAGATTTGGTACTGTTTGTATCAAACAAGGCATAACTCTCAACGCATTATTATTATTTTTTTAAGGTTTTAGATTCAAATTTAAGAAAGACCAACAAAACAATATTCTAGCTTATGAGTGTGTTTTATTTTATTTATATAATAAAGTGCTTAAGGTTAACATCAAGTCGTTGTAGTATAGTGGTAAGTATTCCCGCCTGTCACGCGGGTGACCCGGGTTCGATCCCCGGCAACGGCGTTCCTATTAATTTTTTTGACTTACCCTTTTAACCAGTACTTGCGCTGATGGAGGGGGAAATATGAACCCGCCACAAAACGTCCTGCAATTTTCCTTCCCGCACTCACTCGTCTTTCTCTCTACGGAGGATTTTCAGAAAATCAACTTCCACGCCTAGTTCTTCAATCAGTTCCACCATTCATTCTTAATATCCTCTGTGGTGGACCTGTTTTATTTTTCCTTCCAATGACAAGAGCTCAACTCAAAGAAGAGGCAGATGCCAGTCTTGAGATAATTTCCATCGGATCATTGCACAGTGGACACATTGGGACAAGAAGTACTGGAGCAGCTCTAGGGTTCGTATTCGATTTATTTTGCCCTGCATATTCTGATTTATATGTCTGCTATAATTGATTTCATTTATCGCGGTGGTGAGGTTGCTATTTCCGATTATGTTTTTCTATGTTTATTTGATAGCTTGTTTATCTCCTCAAGTGGAAAGCATGTGATGTTTGTAACATAGTTTGTTCCCTTTGGAATTCTGTTCTGTATTTTCCGACTTGGTTGCTTTGAAAAGATTTCTTTTCTGATAATTTGTTGTTTTGAAGCGACTGCAAGCTTATCTAGGTAGGTTTTTCGATCTAGAATTGGTAAAAATTAGTTGATCCCAATTTGCAAGTAAAATCAGACTGTCTACTTCATGAAGCTTATCTGATAAATTAATTTTGAGTTGTGCGAATTTGTTGTAAATTGAATTTGGTATTAATGCACAATAAATTCCATTTAGTGTCACCGCAATCTTCAGGAGAATCAAATTCTAGGGAAACTTTGGACCAATTGATGAATTTGTCAATTCGAACTGCTTGCTGAACTAATGACCATTTTTGTTATATTTAGAGTGGTTGTTGTAGTTGCAAATTTAATATACCTGAAGAGGTGTTTTAGATCAAGAACAGTAAATGTCAAAGAGAGCTGGGAATATAGATTTTGGAGTTTCATGTGGTAGTTTAAATGTGTTTCATGAATTATTTACTGATGGATAATTATCGTGTGACTTATTGGTTATCTAGGTGTGTCTATTTCAACTCTGCATTGTAATAGAGATAAATCGGATATTGATGATTCCCATTATTTTTCTTTATAAGAGGAATTCCCATTAGAGCCTCTAGAAGTTAAGAGAAGATGCACTTACATGATTATAGATAAGAAATCTCAACTGAGGACCTACTGTAATCATTGAATTATTGTGTAAGATCGATTTCCCTATCCAGATGAGCAATCTGGCTGGTCAGGTCCCAAGGGGCTTTTATTTATGGTGCGTATCACCTTCGTATTAAGTATTGAATATCTCTGTTTCTCGTGTCATTGGAAAATATTTATTGAAAGGTTACATCGTCCCTTGCAGATTTTGTCCATGGATGGACGTTCATTTTCAGAGGAGAGGCTGCCTCCTCACTAACATTTGGCACGGGAAGCGTCTTCGTGCAAGGTTGATGGAGGGGAGGTATAACTTTTCTCTTTTAACCTACAGTCTGTTTGCTTCTTAGATTTGCATTTTTCTACGGATCCCTTTAACCAGTAGAGTCAACCACTAATAAACGAGTCCTATCATACTGTAACCTTTTTGAATTCCTTGCATTTTCTATGATCGGTAACTTGCTCTGTTGTGCCTCCTTTCCAAATATCCTTCAACCATGTTAACATTTTTCTTTCTTGAATTCCTTGCTTTGAGTAAATGCTCAAGTGACAAGTCAATTGGAAGGTAAAATTGAGGACCTTATGTTCTTAGTTTGAATATATCTCCACTGAGCAACTTCAATTTCACCAGTGAAATGGTACTCTTGTGTATCCGCACAAGAGGAATTGAATTCATGCAATCTTAAGCGCCATGGTTAATTTTTTACCTTCAATTTCACCGATGGAAGTCTCAATCAGTCTGAATTAGTTTCTTGCCATGAAAGATCGAAGATTGCAAGAAAGAGAAGGAGGAATCATGGAATCGAAACAGAAAAGTTATTCAATAGTGCTAATCTAAAAAAAGTAGGAAATTGTGGTTCAGGAATTAGATCCATGACCGAAAAACTGTCAAGCTCAGCGTCTGTCAATGAAGTGAATCAAGGTTTTTGTGGCATGTATGTAAAGAAAGTAATTAAAGATAGTTCCTTTACAGAGGCGAAAAGAAAAAATAATGGCTCAGCAACTTCTTTGGCATCAGTATCTGCAACGTCTACAGGAAAGGATAAAAAATTCATAAATTGCCCGCTAACTTTGCATCTCCATGGTGTTTTTAACTACTTTGTTCATGCTACCAGAAGAAAATTTGCTCATTTAACACGAACTCAAGCTCCAAAAGAAACGATTTTGATTCATTAAGACAATACATTGTGAAGTCAATGATGATTTTTTTGCTTCCACAAGCAATTCCTCTGCTTAAGGAGAACTCTAACCGGAAAAAGACAGCCACTTCTAATTTGGTAAGGGTTTCCTTGTGGTAATTTATAATTAACCTGTACCTATTGTTATTAACGTTGACAAATACATTGACACATTTGATATGTATGCATATACAAACTTTTTAGTTTTATTAAAATATATTTTTATTCATCTGCAGATGGAAATACAAAAGACGTATTGAAGGAAGAAGATAGAGCAAAGCAGGAATGCATGCACATACTGCATGGGAAGTATGAATCCGCTGTCCCAAGTTTTGTGCTTCCCAAACATGGTCCTGACAATCTGGAGGGCGAGCAACATTATGACCATGCATACATTAATGGCAACTTCTCTTCTGTTGCAGACAATGGTCAAGGTAAGGAAGATATGAAACCTATTGGTTCTAGTGGATTCCAATTCTGTGGTTGCATGAATGATGAGTTGTTGGTAAATTATCATGAAGCCACTGGAAGCAAAAAGTCCCGTGACAGTGAAATTGGTGGAATGTGCATGGAACAAGTCAGGAGGGTCATTTGTACGTTTCAGAATGTCCTCTCGGCTGTACCTCTTCTGGTAGAGTACTTTCTGATGAAACTATGCGTAATAATAAAAGGATGGATAAATGCCCATTAAATCTTCAAATAAATTCCTTGAAAGTGGACAAGTAAACTCCTACGGATTATAATAGAAAGCAATGCGAGAGCAACCTTGTTCGAGTGGATCCTTTTCTCAACTCCCCCATGGTAAGAATTTGTTATCATGGATACATTCTTTCTTACCCTAGCAACTTAGTTATTACCAATCATTCATTAATGATAACGCCAGTACTACTTTAAACTTCATTTGTACTTAAAAAGAGCATTTCTGTGACATTCTTCCATGTTAACTAAATTTGGTTTTGAGGCGCAAAACTCCTTTACAACCAATTTATTAACTATGACAATCTAGTAATTGATGTTATGCCATCTTTTTTCATCTCAGAATGCAAATGATTCAAGTGTAAGAAGGCCCTCCGCATATCCAGAGGCATTAAGGAAGGAAGTCATTGTAAGAAAAGAGGCTGCGGGAATGGCACTGTGCCATCTTCTCAAGTTCCATGCATTGTGTACAGTAGGATAAAAGCTCAAAATGTGTCTCATTTGGCTAAGGAATACAATCGCATATCCAATGAAGCTTACGATACTAGTTGCCTTGGAAAACATTATGGCGCGGAAACGTCTTCCACTGAATCCCCACATTCTTCTTATATCAATCAGATAACGTATGTCATTGCAGTCCTTCATTAGACCTAGATGTAGCATCACTGAGAGCCAACAAGAAGCATAATTCAGGACTTCTAGACACACCTGTTTTGAAGGAAGATTTGGAAGGTAGTTTTCTTTAAATATTTGCTAGCATCTAAAAGGTACTGTTATTTGTTTTAGGGATATCCCAAAACATGCTCAGGTTCTTTACTCCGAGTGTCTCAGTTTGTCAATCTTTCCACTTTGTTTGTTTAGTTGGAAGCGAACGGAAAACTTTACCAGCAACTGTAATGCAAGGGACTAGGTTAAAGAGCTGTTGTGTGCAATGAGTACAAGCTCAAAGAACACCGAGGAACATTCCTTACTTCAGCTAAAGGACTCTGCCATATGGCTGTTTGCCTCAACCATATCAGATTCTCGAGATTCACATGACTATTTACCAATGGATTGTCAGATAAATCATGCAGAATTGTGGAATCATTTGGTGCGTAGCTGGATTTAAGGTAGTGTGCTATCATAATTTCAAATTTGGCACACTTTTTGAATTTCTGAGTCTTGGACGTTGATTTCATTCTGATATGATGTACTTTTCTCATCAACGGAGTGTCACAGGATAAAATAATATGATTTAGTGACTGCAAAGTATTCCATTATTATATGCAAACAATGATAGTTTAAGTTTTATGATAACAGAAGATAATTAATTTGTTCTGTTTCTAACTGCTCAACTTCCAGTAAAACTACAGGTAGATATTTGGAAATTAATAGTAGTCTGTCTAGAGAATGCAACTTGATTATTCCAGCCATCTGAGAATTCGTCATATTCATTTATTTTGTTACCAGCACTGTTAGATGATTTAGTGTTTTCTTTCACTTTATAGAGACTGCCACTGGGGCATCAGCTGGTCGAGGTATCATTCGGACTCGGGACGGCCTGGTTTACATGTGGGCATTGTCTACAGGAAATAAATTGGGCACTTTTCTTTGTTTTACAGGTATGTGTTAGATTCCAACTTGCTCGAAGTTTAAACAGAGAAAAATATGGTCTTCGAGGGATCAAAGCCTCCAAATGTCAAAATGTGGCTATAAATTTTAGCACACATTTATTAGCTTAAGATCCTATCAGCTAATAGCAGCATAATAATAGCTAATTTAGCTTACCAACCTGAGCTACAAATTAAGAACTAGCTTGAACGAGGAAAGTCTCAACAAACTATTACTAGAATATTGCTCACTCAAAACTATGAAAGCTACAGAATTGCCTCGCTATGCATCCTAACATCGGTGACTAATGCCTTCCATAACGTGCACCATTTCTTTTGCACAAACCTAAAACAATTCATGTCTTCACTATATTGAAAAGATTTCCATAACTCTCCCAACTCATCAAGAGAAGAAACAAAGAGTCGAAAAGCAACTCATCAAGAGAAGAAACAAAGAGTCGAAAAGTGTAAACATGTTTACAAATAAGAGACAAGCTATAAGAGTTAGAAAATGGAAATATGAGATCTGTTTATCATCATGTAGTGCCGTTGGAGACCATCGGATCTTTTAAAAGAAGTATTCATTTCTAGTACCATTTGAGTTTAATTTCTTCAGTTTCTCCATTATAGGTGGGAGTGTTTTTTGTATTGCAACTGATAATAAAGAGACAGGTGTGGTTGCTGTCGCGGCTGATAGCAGGCAGCTGGTATATCTACTTTCATCAGATGGGAAAAGATAGCAATAATGGCCAACCAACGAAGAAAGTTACTTGTAAGTTGCATAATATCAGCAAATGTTTTAGTTTTGAGTTGGTTTCCATCGTGATCTTGATATGGCAACGTAGGAGTCTTTGTGACATGGCTGCATCAGAGCCGACGATAAATGTAAAAATAATCATTTACGAAAATAAATGTTTTTTTAAAAAAATGTAATATGCTCTAATTTGATAGGGTTAAAAGGATCAAAATCCCAAAAACCATTGTTCTTAATAATACTTTTGCAAGAATCATGAAATGTCCAATGTTCTTCAAACTTAAAGGGTATGTAATAATGCTTTTGGAGGGGTTTCAGCTTCATCCAAAAGGGATACATGACAAATTCAATTGATTCTTGGCAACCACTTTAACAAGCTCAAAATGGCTTCATTACCAAGAAATGTGCAAGTCTTTTCCACAATTTTGAAGTATATCATTTAAGTCTCCTCTTATAGTAACCAAGGAGATTCTTCGGAATTGATCAATATCACAGCTTTTTATTGAAGTCCTATCCTATTATTTGTTTCTGAGTTCCCCAGAAAACCAGTGAACCTCCATGATTTTCCTTTCTAAGAGATGAATGACTCAATATGAGAGCTAGAGAAAGAAGGATTCTTCATCACACTTCTTATTTTCAAAATATACAAATTTCACTGTTAAAAGTTTAACACAAATTTCAATCTTTCATTTTTTGCATCTACTTTTTCATTTAAAACAAAATCACTTGGTGGGGATTGCCAACGCCAAACCTCCCCCATAGCTCATATTTATTATACCATGAAAATGGTAGAAAATTAAAATTCAATAAATGAATAAAACAAAGTGAATGTTGTAAGCCTATACTTGGGTTGTGGACGAGTCCAAAATGGGTTGGTTGTTTTTTTCTTAATTATTATTATTTTTTTAAATACATTTATCTACCATAAAAAAAAAAAAAAAAATTCAAATATTAGACTTTCACACACACAAACCATCACTAATATTCATTACAAATAACAAATATTCTTCATTCTTTTTATCATAATCTTAAATCTTAAATCTTAAAAGTAGGATAATGTTGAGTTGTGTTGAGTTAGTTATAACCCTATTTTTGAATTAGTGAGTTGACTTGATAAAAAAATGTCAACCTGCCGATCCAAATTTTTTTGTTTTCTAAAAATTTAAGGAAATTCAAATGGAGAAAGAGAAATGTACCCAATTCTGAATGGGTTAGTCAAAATTAATTAGATTATCGGGTAGGGGTTGGTGAAATAATTAGAATAATAAACATTTAATGCGCAAAATTGCGTTTATTAACGATGGAGCCGGCTGGGCTGCGGGATGGCCTTTCGGATCGGGTTGGTAGTTGGGAGCTGGTTGGTCCAACCCCTCCGAATTATAATCTCCTATTAATTGCCGTTGCCTATGTGGACCAACCATTCTCCGCCACGTCTCTCTCCATCCTACTTGTATTATTAAATTTCCCTGAACCAACGTACGAACCCCCTCTTTTTCTCCTTCTTTTCTTCTATTCACTTCTTCATTGTGTTTACTGTACGCCACGTGGTTCCAACACGTGTCCTCTTCTGTCCACGGTTTTAAATACTGTATTATTTTCAAAGACCGAAATTATTGCTCCCGCGTACAATTCAATATATATATATAATACTCCGATAAGTTTGAATTTTTCATATTGTCCAATTTAATAGAAAATTAAATAAAAAATTTAGAATTTAAAAAAGACTAATTTTTTTTCCTTCTATATACTCGTGACTAATATGAATGAAATTATAAGTCAACCCATGCTCTCACCACACATCAATATAATTCATAAATAATAATAAGTATTAGTTGAGAGGTTATGGTATATAGTATTAGTTGAGTTCCACAGTTATTTTGTCGCGATTTTTATTCATTCAAACTATATATGAATTCACATTTGTAAACCTTTTTAAGTTGAGTATAACAACTTTTATATTCTATATATTTAATAAATGGCAGATAAAGTTCAAATTTTAATTACAAAATTCATAAAAGTTTTAAAATTAGAAAATAACTTATTATTTATTTCATTATAATAAATTCTTATTATATGAAGTTGGAATAAATTGGTAAAAGAACAAAGCGATTTGGTTTATTAAAAGAGGCGAAAGGAAGGTTCTTGCGGTTTCTTTGATACACCGAAGAAATGGATGAAATTGTTTATTATGCCACGTGGAATATTCACAAAAAACAAACAAACAAACAAACAAACATTTAAGTGGATTGTGATTCTCCCTTGTCTTTTAGTGCACATTTAATATTTGGTTGATTTTTAGTTGTATATCCTCACTAATGTCATAAAAAAGTCAACTGCTTCTAAATCCAAAGCTCTACCTTCAACAGTTTGCCAATCAAAAATCCAACAATATTTTTTACTATCATTTTTTTTTTTAATTATTATTATTTTTTAATTATTAAAGAAACACTGCATGTACTTCGGGTGTGATCCCATTACAACAAACTTCTTTTCTTCCATATATGTTAATTGTTTGGACTGTTTTCTTTTTTTTCCTTTTTAGTTACGTGTCTCTTTAGAACGGAAACTATACGCCCGTCGCTCGCATATATTATCCACTTTGTTTCATTACATATCATCGTTAGTCTCATAATTTTAAAACGCATCTATTAGAGAAGGTTTCACACCCTTATAAAAAATACTTAATTCTCCTATCTAGCTGATATGAGATTTCTCCCTTCTCAACATAAAAAGTAGAAGTAAAAGTAAAATTTGGTAGGGTTTTGGTTTTGCAAAGATGAGCTCAAAAGCAGCCACATTTTTTGCGCCGAGGAGAATTAGGTTTGCCACAACAAGAAATATAAAAGAATCTCAAAACTTGTGTTACCCTCCAATTGCCTACAAACTTCTCAACACCATCCACAATACCCTTTTTTTCCCCTCCAAATAAAGTTTTGACCCATCAAACAATGGTGTATAATGTCGTTTAAAGACACCTTGTTAGAATTCATTTATGGAACAGGGTCATTTATTTAATTCATCCCCTCATCCGTTTATGAACCTCTTATAAACCTGAAATTGAACCATCCATGTTTCGAATTATAATTGGTTCAAATCGACAATTTTATTATATATATTTAGTTAAAGTTGAATGGAGATGAAAAGATATACATCTTGACTTTGGATGAAACTGGCAAAATGAATCTTAATTAATAGTTAATAGTCAAAGTATTTTCCACGTCTATTGCACAATTTATCATGAAAATGACAACTAACAAACATTGTTTTATATCCATCTTTCCACGTTACACTCATATACAATTTTTGAGTAAAAATAAAATAAAATAAAATGATGCATATTATACAATAAATTTAATAATGTTTTCTATAGTTTTACTGGCGTCAACTCAAATAATAACAACCAATACAAATAATATACATTTATTTATTTATTTTTCTTAAAAAAGTAATATTTATTTTAAAAACTGGTTCTTTATGAGTGTCTTTGATGGTAGTTGGTGGGCATATCTTTTTAGTTCTTACACGTGACTTCTTGTATAATATATGCATCTAAAACTAGTTAAACTACATTTATATGCGAATTTAACATAGCTTTAATTGCATAAGAATAGATAATTAATTTTTTAAAAAAGAAATAAAGAACTAAGGTTAATTAAAGTAAGAATATATGAGATTCATTGATTAAACAAATTAAACAAATTTATTATGAATTAATTAAGTCAGGCCGTCCACCATTTTTAGCTTTTCTACTTCAACAGGTGGCAATCAAAATTTAAACATCCATCCTATTGGGCTGTCAAACTGCATTTAGTATTATTTATAATCAAAATATATCTCACAATTTAATTAAAAATAAATATTTTAATTAAATTGTGAACTGAAAAAGAAAAAAAGAAAAGGTTAAGTGGGCGTTGAGGGACGTGAAGTGGTTCATTTAATCGCCTCATCTGCCTTCTTCATTGCCTGTCTCCTCCTCCTCCTCTTTATATCTCCCATCTTCTTCCTTCCTCTCTATTACATCTCGTGCTCTCTTCTTCAATTTTTTTTTTTTTTTTTTTTTTCTGTCTCTTCTCTGTTGTTCTGCTTTCCAAAATGCCTCCCATCTTGCCGGATTTCTCCACCTCCGTCAAGCTCAAGTATGTCAAGCTTGGGTACCAGTATCTGGTGAACCACATTCTAACTCTCACCCTAATCCCTCTCATCATCGCCATTTCCCTTCAGCTTCTTCGGATGGGTCCCGACGAGATTCTCAACCTCTGGCGATCTCTCCACTTCGATCTCCTCCAAATCCTATGTTCCTCCTTCTTCATCATCTTCGTCGCCACTGTCTACTTCATGTCCAAGCCCCGAACCATCTACCTCGTCGATTACGCCTGCTTCAAGCCCCCCGTCACTTGCCGAGTTCCCTTCTCCACTTTCATGGAGCACTCCCGCCTCATCCTCACTAACAACCCCAAGAGCGTCGAGTTTCAGATGAGGATTCTCGAGCGCTCTGGGCTTGGCGAGGAGACCTGTTTGCCCCCTGCCATTCACTACATCCCCCCCAAGCCCACCATGGAGGCCGCTAGAGGTGAGGCAGAGCTTGTGATTTTCTCCGCCATGGACGCCCTGTTTCAGAAAACAGGGATGAAGCCCAAGGACATCGATATTCTCATTGTGAATTGCAGTTTGTTTTCGCCTACTCCGTCTCTGTCGGCTATGGTGATTAATAAATACAAACTTCGGAGTAATATCAAGAGCTTTAATTTGTCGGGTATGGGGTGTAGTGCGGGGCTGATTTCCATTGATTTAGCCCGCGATTTGCTTCAGGTGCATCCCAATTCCAACGCGGTGGTGGTTAGTACTGAAATCATTACCCCTAATTATTACAAAGGAAACGAGAGAGCCATGCTTCTCCCTAACTGCCTTTTCCGTATGGGTGGAGCCGCCATTCTCCTCTCCAACCGCCGCTCCGAGCGTCATCGAGCCAAGTACCGGTTGGTTCATGTGGTACGCACTCACAAAGGAGCCGACGACAAGGCCTACCGCTGCGTCTTCGAGGAGCAGGACAAAGAAGGCAAAGTCGGAATTTCGCTTTCCAAGGATCTCATGGCCATAGCCGGAGAGGCTTTGAAGTCAAACATCACCACCATCGGCCCACTCGTCCTCCCTGCTTCCGAGCAGCTACTCTTCCTTCTCACTCTCATCGGCCGGAAAATCGTGAACCCCAAATGGAAGCCCTACATCCCGGATTTCAAGCAGGCATTTGAGCACTTCTGCATCCACGCGGGTGGGCGGGCGGTGATCGATGAGCTGCAGAAGAATCTGCAGCTCTCAGCGGAGCACGTGGAGGCGTCGAGAATGACTCTCCACCGGTGGGGCAATACGTCGTCGTCTTCTCTGTGGTACGAATTGGCATACATCGAAGCGAAAGGAAGGATGAAGAAAGGTGATAGGATTTGGCAAATCGCATTTGGAAGTGGGTTCAAGTGCAACAGCGCGGTTTGGAAATGCAACAAAACCATCAAAACCCCATTGGATGGACCCTGGGCCGATTGCATCCATAGGTATCCAGTTCACATCCCTGACGTAGTCAAGCTCTGAAAATCCGACAAATTTCAAAATAAAATTAAAACTAGAATAACACACAAATGAATAAAAACAAACCAACACACATGCAGCTGGGCTTCAACGTAATCTGCAGATTTGCTTCCTTCGCGATGGAACTCTCATTTGTCTGTGACTGTGACTGTGACTGTGACTGTGACACCCTATATTTCCACTTTTTCTTCTCAATCCTTAATGGATTTGCATACATCAAATGTTGTGTTTGTATTGAATTTAGGGTACAATTCCATGTAGCTTTGTTTGGGGGAACATTTCAGGAGTAGAAGACAAAAGGGTATAAACTTGTTGGTTCTTAGCTATTTCTCTTTTCTGCGCTCAAATCCCATTTTTGGGTTTCATTCCCCCACCCAATTTTAACTAATTACCGCTTAACACTAATCTTACTGTTTTTGGTTTAATTTGGAAATTCGCAATACTATAATGTTCCGTCTCCAGGAATTTCGGAAACGTAACATACACAAATTTATGCTTATATTTTTCATTAAAGATAGAGGGATGCGTTAAAACATTATTGCACTAACTAGTACTAGCTTGAATTAAATAAACTTAAGACTATGTTTTTACAAAATGTCTTCTTTAGATTGATACTTAGACTTCCAATTTTTAAAATCTCATTTTTATATGTCACATTCAGATATAAAATTTAATATTATGTCGAATAGATTTATTACATCAAATAAAAAACGATCATGGAATATAATGAAGGCCACATTTTGGTTTGTGTTTAGTGTAGTTGAGCATAGCTTTGTATGTCAGTCGGTCGGCAAGTTGGCAGCAAATGTAGATATCCATCCATAAGACCGATGACTTATTTAATGTACAACCGCCAACTACAACCAAAAATAAGCTCAAATAACCTTGACTTTTATTCATACATATTTCTTTTCAAAATTACAATATTAATTAACTCATAACTTCTTCTGCCCAACTAGATTTTAGGGCCAAATTAATGATCACTTATTTTCCACAAACCTTGAATGTGATTATTTTTAAATATCAACTCACATAAAACACGTATTTCTTTAATTAATCTTTAACTAATTAGCCAACTAATTATGGAGCTGTCTCAACACTCGTGTGATGCTGTTTTATTTATTTATTTTTTTTAAGAAATTAATTGACTACAAAAAAAAATTAATAATAATAATAATAGAAGAAGAACAAAAGAGTATAAGATTAAGATTACGTAAATTTAGATAATATTGGGAAGTATTAAATTTGATTTATTAATTGAAATAACTTCAATGTTTAACTAATTAAAGCAAGATGTAAGGGTTAATGTGACGTGTATGAAGTTGACGCCCATGAGATGTGATGTGGTGGTCCACAAGAAAATGTTCCCCACTTTTGACCTTCAAATTTCTTGTCCCTCTCCCATCTTCATTGCTCACAAATGACATTAATTTTAATTTTCTTCATCCACATCCTTACCAAAACCCTTAATTAAGTATTGAAATATGGAACGCTCGTAATCCTTTTTAATGTTCTTAACTCAATTATACAAAATGTAAACTCTTCCTATTCATTTAGGGTGGAGGGATGAGTAAGTTTGGATCATTACTGGAGTGGAAGTTGGTAGGCATATGATACTGGAGCACACGAGGGGTACATGAATGAACCGAGACCGCATGACTATTAAAAAAATGAAAATTTCTTACATACATGCATTTATTCATAGACCAAACTTGGATGAGTTATTTGACATTAGATAACAATATTTATGAGAGTAGGTATTTTGTATTATTTTTGTGCGTGTATATATATATATATATATATATATATATGTTCCCAACCACCAAGACTGAGGCGCGCGTTCCAATTGAAAAGGGCAGTGCTAGAGAGTTTAATTGCGATGCTGGAAGAGGCAGCTGTCCAGCCAACTATTGCATGTCTTTCACTGGATGTGCCCCATTTTGCCTGACGATATCCAGTCCTTCCGGTTCGTCTTTAATGTTCTCTCCATCTAGCTAACATGATGGTGCACAAGTTGAGGTATTCTCAAGAACACATCTTTTTGCAGTATATATATTAGCCCACCCAATTTAATTTTCAAACTTATTATTGATGGGTAGGCTGGGTCCTTTTCAACCCATTATTTTGTCACTCTAATTTACTTCACCCTTCTAGGTCAGGGTTAGGTGAATCTACTGCTTACATTTCAAACAAACGATTTAATAATTTATCTACTTATGCTTAATGAAATCAAACAAGACTTGGGTTTTGTTCAGAATAGTGAATGGGCTTGAGCCCACCAACTTGAAAAATGGAAATGGATTTGGGTTTCATACTCCACTGGGCACTAACCCCGGGGCCATCGAAACGCTGATATTGGCGCGCACCACTGAACAAACTGACTTCCGGAGAAGGAGAAGAAACACGGCGCTGGAGGTTGTGCGGTGATTGATGGATGTTTCGCCACGCAGCTTGAGAAACATGGCGCTGTCCTTAACGATCCACTTTGGAGCGCCGTTCGCCTCATCAATGATCATGACCTGATCAAGAAGGTCATGTCTTACCGTTTCTGTTCTTTTTTTTTTTTTTTTTCCTCTTCTTTGTTTCGGTGCATCACGTTCGCATCGGTGCTTATTGATTGGATTATGCGCAGGTCCATTTGGAGTACTTGGAGGCAGGGATAAATATTTTGGTTTCTTCGTCTTACCAGGTTTGTAATGCTAATGGACTGAGCTTTCTTTATTCTTTTTTCGACTGCATACGTGAAAAACCTTTGTCCATTGCACTCTGCGACGGCTTTTGCAGTACATTGTTTTTCTTTTTTAAAAAAAAATGTTTACTGTTGTTTATTTAAAATTTGGAGATTCAAAGTGGATATTTGAATGCTAATGTCCAGAATGAATGCGGGCCAAAGTGATCACGCCTCTTGAATTCAAATTTAAGTTCAAATTGAGCATTTCTATCCTGTCGTGAAACGATGAACTAAAATTGAACGGCTGTTGTACACTCACGAATGTGGAGAATTTCGATCAAGTTAATTGAATTTGATTAAAGTGATTTCCATGGCATGGCATTTTTGGACATTCAAGGTGTTACAATTGGTGGATCCAAATTATGCTACATAATGGATTATAACCGGTTGTTGCTAGAAGGGACATTCAATAGGCGTCAGTATTTAATATTGGAAGGGTAATGTTTGTATGCTTACTAATTCCTAACCACATCGGCTTAGCTCAATTGTCAAAAGTGGAAGCTATGAACTAAGATACCTATTCGAAATGTATCACTACCAATCTAAGATATTAAATATTCAGAAGGTTCTCCAATGTTAAACGTTGTAGAATTAAGCGATCAGTTCATCTGATTGATTGAGTGACATTTAAACTGATATCTAGCTTGTCATGCTATATTGCCATCACAAGGTAAAAGAGCTTCTTTTTGCCATTGAAAATGAAATTCAATTTTGCATAGCTTAGGATTTGTATAGGTAAATAAATTGAATTTATAAGCCCGTTTCAGTTTTCACAACTTTATTATACCGTATCAGAATTCTCTATATTTTATTGACCCAAAATGAAATTCGACTGTGAAATATGACATAGGTTTGTGGCTTAAAACTTCTTAAGAATTCCAATAATCTTATGGAATAAGGATAGAAGTATCTTGCCTTGTTTTATTTCTTAATTTTTTTTTTTTTTTATAGAAATTATTCCTTCTGTAAATCAGTATTCAGGCCAGTTAATTACTCTCTCTCACATTTTATCCTATTACAGGCCACCATTCCTGGGTTTATATCATAGGAGCTGTCCATGGAAGAAGGGGAGTTGCTCTTAGAAAAGAGTGTTAAATTGGCCATGGAAGCTCGTGATAGTTTTTGGGATTCCATGAAGAGTATCCCTGGACATAATTACAATCGGGCTTTGGTTGCAGCATCCATTGGAAGCTATGGTGCTTATCTGCTGATGGCTCAGAGTACAGGTGAATTATACATTTGAATATTGAACTAAACATATCCCACCCCACTCCCCCCCCCTAGTGGGCATTACGGGCCAGATGTGAATGTGGATAAGTTGAAGGATTTTCATCGGCGCAGATTGCAGATTCTTGTTGATGCAAGCCCAGATTTGCTTGAATTTGAGACTATTCCCAATAAACTTGAAGCCCAGGTTTGTTTTATGCCAACTCCTCTTGTATCATATAAGTTGTGGTTTAATGATAGAATCACTCTTGCTGCCATAGTGATACCACTGTAAATTATATTGTTATGTTTTGGTATGAGTTATAGAGTATTTGAGAAAACAGCCTATGGTATATTTTATAAACTGTTCATCTCAATTTATGAGTTGTTCATTTCAAGGGATCAAGGTAATTTGACTACCATCATGGCATCAATGGGGGATGCATGCATCAGTAGGTCTTAGTTTATTGTGCTTAATTCATGATCAAAATTCTTTTATAATAAAAAATTGAATTAAATCCTATTCAAACCCCTTAATTTAAGATTTTTCCCATTTTACACGTTCAGATATTATATTTTAATTCCTAAACCAGAATCCTGATTTAGTTGGTCTTTGTTATGAGATGGAAGAAAAATGTTGAATGTTTTTGATAATTGTCATGTGCATGTCGGACAATCGTTTCAATTGATTTTGCAATTTGTTTGGGTTTCTGTCCTCTTTTTGTGATCTTGTTTCCAACCAATCTTACCTTCGCTCCCCCCACTCTGGTCTTAAAAAAAAAAAGTAGGCCTGTGTGGAGTTGCTCGAAGAAGAAAACGTCCAAATTCCATCTTGGATCTGCTTTAGCTCCGTAGATGGCGAGAATGCACCGTCGGGAGAGAGCTTCAAGAAGTGCCTTCATGCCATTAATAAAAGTGACAAAGTAACTGCAGTTGGCATAAACTGTACACCTCCTCACTTTATTGAAGCTCTGATTTGTAAGCTCAAAGAGGTAGGAACTAAATCTCTTAGTGTTGATTTAATGTTGTTGTGTTGGTCACTTGTTTTGAAACCGAAATGTTCACTTCAGTTAACCAACAAGCACATAGTTGTCTATCCCAATAGTGGCGAGGTATGGGATGGCAGAGCCAAGAAATGGCTGGTGAGTCAACTTAATTCTTCCCTACCCCACTCTGATATTTCATGGCTTGTGGGCCTACATTGTAATATTTCCATTACTAATTAGCGTTCTGGTTTTGGTAGCCATCAAATTGTTTTGTTGATGACAAATTTGAATCATTTAGTTCAAGATGGCGTGATTTGGGAGCAAAATTCATTGGAGGCTGTTGTCGTACGACACCGTCTACCATCCTAGCTATATCAAAGGTTTGGAAAGAAAGCTCCCATTAGTGACCGCCGTCTAATTTTTAACCTGTTTTGTTCTTTTGTAAACTACTAGATTGAGGTGTTATGGTTTGCATTCTGACATAATTTTTTCGGCTTATAGAATTTTACTGCATAAAACTCAAAAGGCTAGTTAAAGAGGGTAGGCATTTTTACTTCTTCATGAAATTCAACTAAATTGAGGAAAAGAAAACTATTACATTTTCAGAACATATTTTATATTTTATTTCAAAGAATGATAAAAATCTTAGAGAATGGATCCCTCAGGACAATGCAAACTTTGGATGCTGAGGCTGATCTTGGAAGTTTATATATAAGCAAGCAGGAACATAAAAACCAACAGAGTTCCAATCCCTTGCTAGATTAGGAAATCTTCTCCTTTTTTTTCTGGGAAAAGATAAAAAATGGAGGAACAATTGTTTATCCTCAAAGTAGACTGAGAGGAAGAAGCCGAAAAGTATGGGATTAGACTGAAGGTAATGGGTAATGCAATATTGGGATGGGGGCCCCTAAACAAGATCTCAACTTTTTGTCGAACCAAAAAAAGAAGTGTCCCTTTCTCAATTAGGGTGCCCCACAAATTTACGCAGCCAATCAGAGAACAATCCTTTGGATGAACTATAACCCCTCGACCAATGAAGAAGTGGATAAGGCCCTTCTGTGGACCTACCCACTGCAAGTTCTTTTTCTATATTAAACAAGTGCACAAAAGTGCAATTCCTTCCCAGTCTAGACCCTTCTCTGTCGTGGATTTAACTGGAAAAGCGCAGTCCGAGGGGCATTCCCCAGGTCCCTCCATGGTTTCTAGTTAAAATAGTTTCTCGTGAACATTTATAAAACAACAATGACGAACTAGTACAAAATATCAAGAGTATAGTGTCCGAATTTGAAGCCTGCAAGTTGTGTTTTTAATACAAACTCACATTTTCACCTGAGTTTCAGTGTATTGACTCTTTATCATTTCTGGTTATTTGAATTTTATGATGCCGAGGAAAAGCGTGCAGAAAACAGCAGAGGGAGGCAAGACCGCCAGACCCTGCGATAGCTGTATCATCAAGCGGGCTCGGTGGTACTGCGCTGCCGATGATGCTTTTCTGTGCCAAGCTTGTGATGCTTCAGTGCACTCCGCCAACTCCTTGGCTCGTAGGCATGAGCGAGTTCGTCTTCAATCTGTCTCTTACAGAACCTCTTCAGACAACTCCTCTGCTGCTTCATGGCACCAAGGCTTCACCAGAAAGCCACGGTCACCTCGAATGGGAAAGACCACTCCGATGAGGAAGCCATTTCCTCAGGTACCGGAGGTGAATGCTAAAGAAGAAACTGAAGATCAAGAACAGCTCCTCCTTTATCGAGTTCCTGAATTGGGAGCCGATTCAAAAGTTGGTAATTTGTTTAGTTTTGTTGGGGAAAAAGAAAACTCAATTGGGTATCTCTCGTACGATATGGATCCTGCTGAATTCGCGGCTGATGTTGAGAGTTTGTTGGGGAAGTCGCTTAATAATAAGTGCTTTGATATGGAAGAACTGGGGCTTGCGGCTTCCAAAGATCACTCAACGACAAAGGATGATTACTCTTTAAACAGCCACGAACTTATTAGGATTGAACAAGATGAGATAGAGAAATTGACTCCGATGCTCCGCGCAGAAGGCGAAACAATGAGGGAGCCATTTGAACTGAACTTTATGGACTTCGGCAGAAATCCAAGGACGTGCGGTGAGGAAAACAAGGCGATGATGGAAGTCAAGGAAGTGGTGAAGAAGGGTGAACTTGAGATGGAAGAGACAAAGATGGTTAACAACAAAAAGAAAGTATCATTGAGTTTGGATAGTGAAGCAGTGATAATGGCTTGGGGGAGCAGAGGAACTCCATGGATGTCCGATGATGGACCGAATCTTGACCTCAATTATCACTGGCTGGACTACATGGTTTGTTCCTTTACCTTCCTTTTCATGTCCAATGAAATTTTTAAGCTTATAATGTTTTGTTTGGTATCACAAAAGCTGTCTGAAAGTGAAGCATGTTTCTATGAAGGGTACGTGGGAGAGTGAATATTATTATGAGGCTTACGGGGAGGTTAGCGGCGGAATTAGGCGACAAGCGGCAGCCGGAGTTGAAGGAGAGAGAGAAGCACGAGTGTCGAGATACAGAGAGAAGAGAAGGACGAGATTATTTGCAAAGAAAATAAGATATGAAGTTCGGAAGCTGAATGCAGAGAAGAGACCGAGAATGAAGGGGAGGTTTGTGAAGAGAGCGTCTTGCTTTGCGCCAACACCTTTGCCTCTGTTTAATTAATCATTAATCTTCAATCTTAATTTTGAACCTCTAATTTAATACAATAATCCACTTTTGCTTTATTTCATCAATTTTGGGCCGTTTGCGGTCCGCCAGCCCATCAATGCCCAGTAATATGGTCCACTGGGCTAGTCCAGTAGTTCGTCAATGGGTCAGGTACCCGAACTTTTTGTTGAACAGTTATGCTATTGTATTTAGTTTAAAGCAGAATATATATAAATCATTTTTTGGAATATAAATGGAGATGCTATCACCAATATTTAACGTTCCAACTAGTACTATTTAAATTTGCATACCTACCCATCCTATCTCATAAATATTGATGGCATTGTTGCTGAGAAAGGAGAAGAATGGTGAAGTTGATAATTTGGTATACTCAGAATGAAATAAGAGAAGAAAGAAAATGTGGAAAAAGAGAGAGACGGTGAATTTGATTCCAAAATCCAAATTGGAAGCAGACAAAGAAAGCAGGGCGCTAAGTGCATAAATAATTTGCAGCTTTTCTCAACTTCTTCGCCGCGCAATACGCGGCGCATTCTCATGTCTCGGTTTCTCTGTTTTGTCTTGTTATTGCATTCTTCTTCATCTTCTTCAATTCATCTTCTTCAATTCATCTTCTTCAATTCTTCTTCTTCAATTCTTCTTCTTCAATTCTTCTGGAGGAACCATTTTCAAGTTCTACTCGCTCCTACTTCTTCCTACTACTTATACCTCTTCATGATCTTTCTTTTTTATTTTGGAATCAATTTCTGTATTTTTCTTGGGCTGGGGAAGATGAATGAATGGTTGATTGAAACTGGAATTCCGAACCAGAGGCATCTCTCATTAATGTGGGTTGGGCCAGTTGATTCGGCGCGGAAGGCCCAGTAGGCCCAACTAGGAGACAGCTCCAGGCTCCGGCTACCAACGGAAGTCGACGAAGAATAATAATAAACAGGCATTTCTGCAATGACAGATCATTCAGATTCGACATTGAAACCTCCAAATTTTTGTACATACACACAGGACCGACCTTCTGGCCTGTGGCCTCTGGGTTTTTGGCAGTCCGAAATTTGGGTAGAGGATAAAAACCAAGAAAAACATGAAAAAAGAAATCACTGCACACTCACTACACATTGCTGTCTCTACTCCAATGATTTAAAAAAGAAGAAAGTTATAAATTTCATATATAACAAAGTGAAGTACCAAAATAACCCCGGTTTTCTCTAGCAAGAAAAAAGGGGGAAAAAAAAATAAAGAGAAAAACGGGGGTATTTTGGATGAAGAAAAGTTATCACAAGAAAAGGGAAGGGTGTAAAAATGAATTACTAATTCTGCTAATTATGAAGAGGATCCGGACAACTGGGTATTCTCCGTTTGCTGTCTTCGAATCCTTCATCGTGGCGGTGTCGATCGAAGGCCTTTCCCTTGAAGTATTTTTGGAGAAGTTCGCTTTCGGTGTTGGCGTTGTATTTTTGGTCGCCAGTGAGTGTTTTGTCCGCCGTGTGCGGCAGCGGCGGAGGAAAAATCCGTGAAGCTCTAGCTTGGCAGTGAGAGCAAACCCAAATCTGTGACACCCAGAGGATGAAAATTAGCAGGGCAAAAGAAGAGGAGGAGGAAGTGGCGATTCTTCTGGTACACATGGCTGCCCGGCGGCGGGAAGAATACCCCGACATAAAGAAAAACAAAACTAGAACAAAAATTGATGAAACTTGGCTTCAATAACTTTCAAATCCCTCCTCTATCTGGGTCGACATGTATGAAAGTCATAGCTAAAAAACAGAGCTACTTGTGTTCTCTGGGATGGATTTGAGGGTTAGCTTTGAGATATAAGAACAAAGAAAGGAAAAGACGGCTATAATGGGACTCAGAGAGAAGAGAGGAAGAGGGACGACAGTGGGCCACGTGATGAGGGGATAGCAGGCTGAATGAAATGAAATGAAATGAAATGGTCCACCTTCATATATTATGATAATGGGAAGAAGTTAGGTTTGACTCCTGTTTGTTTCACCACCACCACCACCATTCATTGCTTCAATTTCCTCACTCTACACCTTAACAAGTAACAACATAACCAAGAGAAAAACAGTGTGTATTTCAAAATCTGAACTCCATATGTCGGTGCTCTGTTTCTTTATTTATATGACTAAGATTCCAATAACGTGAAACATTGAAGCCACGTACGGTTCTGCCATTGGACGCCTCGACTCATTAGGCGACAATACGGGAGAGAGCTCTTTGATTTTTTGATGATACAACACTCATGTGAGTTCTTCGGGAGCTCCCAATTGGTCGTCTCATTTCTACCAAACATTTTGTTTTAATTTATGGCCTATAAACAACATTATAATACTGAACCTTTTCGTACTCTTTGATAATATCAATACAAGATTGCAACTAACGGGGACTTTGTAAAGCAATTTTTCAAAATTCTTCATGATATTCGGGTATTTTTTAAATTACTTTTGTAGAAAGGGGTTATTCAACATCTTCCACTTCTCCGTTGGGGCCACATAAAAGTGGTATTCTCAGATTTTCAAAACAACGTCTTTTGAAATGCAGTCGAACCCCAGAAAAGTTTTGAATGGGTAATTATTATATAACGTCTAGGTTTTGGGAAAAAAGAGAAGAAAAAGAAAAACCTTCGAACACCCTAGTAGTCTGCGTCATTGTTATGTCGATAAGCTGTGTAGAATAGCAGACTGGAATGAAGAGAGTAAAAGGATAATTAATTACGCATGCGTTGTGTTAATTACCATCTACTTTTAAAACGACAGGTTATATTAAATTGTTCATTGGGTTACGTAAAGACATGGACTCCAAAGAAAAGAAAAGACAAGAAAAGAAGAGGGACATGGGCACCGTTGGATTGGAAATGAAACATTTCTACTCCATGGCAGAGAGGGAGGGTAGGCATGAGATAAATAAAAGAGTAATGAAGGGATGCCCCCACGCAGAACAGAACATCCAAAAGGCAAGGGCCCCCCATTTATCAATTTCAGAAAGCCTATCTTGAATTCTGAGCCCCATGCAGGCATTAAAGTTGAGCAACCTTTGCTTCCTATTTGGACTTTGTACTCTTCTTCTGTCCTATGACCTTTAATCCTCTTGGGGTGTCTTTTTTTTTTTTTATTACCTTTGCCTTTTTCCTTTTGGCCCATTGGCCTCTCATCACTCCCCCCTTTCCCCTTCACATCTCTGCCTCCTCCTCCTCCTTTTTCTGCCTCTCCAAACCTTTTCCCCTCTCTCGCTCACTGCCGATACTAGAAGGAAAAAGGGAAATGAATCAGTCAATATTGGAATTCAACTTCTTCCGACTTGACAGCTTCTAAAATTCCAAATGCTTTGTTCTCTTTCTTTTCCTATTTACATGGAATTACATATACAAGCTTTGTTTTCTCTATACTCAAACAAAACATTGTCTCTGACTCCAAAAAGTAGCAAACTGACTGAAATATTCTTTGCTTAAATCTGAATCAACATATTCCCTCCAACCACCACCAACAAAGTAGCCTCTCCTTTGGCAATCAATATATGACAGTCCACTATAGTTGTCTTGCAATGTAAAAAACGATAGAATTCGTTGATAGACTATAATCTTCGACATTTGGGTTAATCTCCACTCCTGGGTATGCTCACAAATTCAATAAAAGCAACAGCAGAGATAAAAATCATTATATACCCAGGAGTGGAGATGATATGGTGGATTTTAAGCATACGTTGCCATTCTGGCTACCCGACCACTGAGTTTGTACGACTTGCGTTAGAGGATAACTTCGCCTTTGTAACCTTTGTCAAGTACGTGTTATACTAGATTTTTCAGAAGCATAGCTGCAACCACAAACTAAGCCCCCATCAATCCAATTACCTTTCTGCAGTGTTTTTCTGAAGTTCCGTGCATAAATCGCTCCCTGGTACTGAGTAGATACGCATTATTTAATTGTATCCGTACCTGCAATTATTCAAGCCTCTACAACCAGAGAAGTCATCCTGAAGGAAGAATTAAATACAAAATCGAACTTCTTCATGAGTTGGTTGAAGTTTGTACTCAACGACTGACTTCAATGGTGTACCCAAAAGATTCTAAACTCCTAGGGAGGTTTTGATTTTTCCAGAATCGTGGTTGACAACGTCACCAGGATGAAATAAAACGAACTATGCACCAGACATGATTTTTTCAAAGAGAGAAGGATCTTCCAAAAGATATGCACACTGTAGCACCCATAAATAGTGATTCACTTGCGAGGAGAAATCACCCATTACATTTCGGATAGCAACATCAGAATCTTACGCAAAACAGGTACTGTTGGTCATTTCATCTTGATACTTGGGTGCCTCGTATCAGGTACGAATTAGTGAAACTGATGCCAAGCCCGTTTCTAAGGCATAAATTACTGATTGCTGATGAAACTCAAAATTAATAGGACACATATTGGAAGTTCGAACCGAGACTGATTTTGTACACATTTATTAACAAGCAATTGATTAAATTAACACTTAGGCCAGTTAACTAAACGGAAATTTATTATACTTAAGAGGGTGCCATATCAGACGGAAGAATTTATCATCACCCCCCAAAAATTTCATATGGAAGATGCCTTTATTACTTGATATAAAATCTTCGAATTTATTCAAGTTTGAGCATCGTCGCTAACCCCTGGTTAGACATGTATAGTAGTTTAAGGAAGATGGAAGGACTAACTTGTACATGCACACAGAAATTGAGGACAAAAAGAGGGGACATTTATCCTTTAATATCACTCTTCTAATCACGTGATACTGTCAAGGCCATTGACCTCTTTAGCCAAGGCAGTTGGGTCACATACTCACCTATGAGACAGCGGGTGGGGGGCGGAATCTTTCTGTACATCACTTGAACAGAGAAGCAACTAAAGAAGACAAATAATAGGCGCAATTGAAACACTTTTGCTTAGCTAAAATGTATGTGTAACTTTAATGTGAACTTTCTGCAGAACCCTCGACTTTTTTGTATCAATGAAGCCTGATTATTTTATTGAGACACTTTTTCTCCATCTAAAGCCGGAGTATTATGGTTATTCATTTGTAGAAAGATTATATATTTTACCTTCTATCAACAGCAGCACCTAGATCCACAAGGATCGACCCAAATGGATTCAGGGGTCCTAGTCCCGGGGTTCTAGCCCAAAGATGTACCCATTATTCAAAGAAAATATTCATTTTGAACCTAAATTACTTCTATAAGA